GTCTCTGTTTTTATGGTAACATGATCTCCTTTATAGAAGACTTTTAAGTATTTCACACACCCCAAAGGAACTGATTTTAAGATGTAACGAAACCACAAGATGCAAAACACACAGAACTAGCAGAATTTCTTCATGACATAAAATAAAATTATTTGACAATAGCATCAAAAATATTTAACAATAAATTTAACCAAGGCAGTGAAAAAGATGAGTGACAAAACTAGAAAAATATTAATGGAAATAATACGACACAAATAGATGATAAGGTCCTCTATATTCATGGACTAGAAGTGTCAATATTGATCAAATGCCCATGCCACCAAAAACAGTCTAAATGCCATACAACCCTTATCAAAATTCCAATGTCACCTTTTGACCAAAATAGAAATGTTATCCAGCCACAAAAGATCTTAAATACACAGAGAAATCTTGAGCAAAAAGAAAGCATTGTCTTTTACCTGATTCCAAAATCTATTGCAAAGCAATAATAATTAAAAGGGTATGATGTTGTTCTCAACAGATGGCACAGAGGTCAAGAAGATTGGCTACTCTTCCAGAGGGCCTGGATTCAGTTCCCAGCATCCACATGGCGGCTCACGATCTGTAACTACAGTTACTAGGATCTGATGCCTTCTCCTGGCCTCTGAGCACCAGGCTCATGTGGTACATATATGCAAGCAAAACATTCATATGCATAAAATGGAAAAAAAGTGTTTATAAAGTATAGCAACAATGGAGATTGATCTGGAATAGGGCTCAAGGTTCTAAGAACGTACACAAGAGAAGACATAGTTTCTTCAGAAAAAGGAGCTGTGGAAAAGGCTAACTACAGACAGAAAAATGAAAGTGGAGCCTTGTCTCACACCACACGGAAAAGCCAACTCAACATGGATGAATCAGTGTAAGACTGAAAATATAAACAATTAGATTAGAAAAACAAAGAGAGTAATCAATGTTGCTTTAGTGATGATATCTGGGATATGTCTCCCAAATCCAGGCCACATATAAGTCACAATTAACAAATGAGTTATATCCGATTGAAAGAAGCAATTAATAGTGTGAGAGACATCCCAGGGATGGAAGAATAATTTATAAACATCTGTTAAGAGTCTAGTGTCCAAAAAATGTTTAAGATCTCAATTCAACAGCAAGAAAACAAATAACCGATTCTAAAAATGTATAAAGCACCTGAATATACATTTCTCAAAAGAAGACCCAAAGATGACCAAAGACATATGAAAGTAATTCTCATCATCCAGGGTATGCAAATGGGTGCAGTGAGACACCTCACATGTAATAGAATGTTTATTATAAACAACATGGCTCAGTGGGTAAAGGCACTAAGTTTGATGGCTTGAGTTAAATACCTGTGGCCCACATGGTAGATGGAGAGAACTGACTTCTGCAAGTTGTCCTTTAACCTCTACACATATGTTGTGACATGTGCATGCATAAATATAATTTTAAAAATTAAATGCATGGACAAAGGAGACTTGTATACTGTGGATGACAATGTAAATTCATGTAGTCATTAATGGAAAACAGTGTTGGGGCTCCTCAGGAAACAAGAGATAGAATTATCGTATGGTTCAGCAGTCTCACTTCTGGGTACATAGCCAAAGAAACTGAAAGCACCTTGGCAAAGAGCTAGACATAGTGGTTCTCCCGTGTTCAGTTCAGCGTTATGAACAATGAACAAGATATGATATCAACCTGCTTTCATTGTCAGAGGGTGTGGTGTTGGTGATAATGAAATACTATTAGGTCATTAAAAAAAGAGAACTGTTTCTTTCAGTAGGGATGAACCTGGAAGATGCTATGTTAAGGCAAGTAAGCATGGTACAGAAGGACACAGACTATATGGCCTCAGGTGGGGCATCTAAGAGTTCAAAGCATCCAACCATGACTCTGAGAAGTAGAGGAAAGATGTGGATGGAGATTGGGTGATGTTGATCAAAGTTGAAACTGGAAAGAGTGAGCTTCAGCTGTCCCTTGTAAGGACTACAGATGTTAACCATTAAAGAACATATATTTTCAAACCGCCAAAGGGGATTTTAAATGCTTTCACCACCCCAAAATTCTAAGTACCTGAGATAGTTTTGTTTACATGATTTGGTCATCCCATAGTGAAAACATGTATCAAAAAATAACATCATCTGCCAGAAAAATAATGTCATGAAAAAAGTCACTTCCTTATATCGGACTTCTCAGCTATTCTATTTAAAGACACCTTACTCTCCACAAGGCCACTCCACGTTCTTTATCAGCACAGATTTCAAGCCATAGATTCATCATAGGTTCATCTTTTACCAGCTTGCCTTTGACAGATCTAAATCTTCCTGGGGCTGTAGTAGTAAGGGTTACGAGAGAACCCCTGTAGTTGGGGTTGACCAGAAGTTCATAAGGCAGCGTGCCTGGAGGGACACTCGTGTAAACTCGGTTACTTGTGAAGCTGAGAGTGGGTGTTTGAGAGTTCAAGCTCAGGCTGAGTTATATAGTGAAGCTCTAACTCAGAATAAAAAGGAAAGAGGGCTTTCCAGCAGACAGAAAAGTTTAGAAGAGGCAAGTTTGGTGGTAATGGTTGAATTCCTACCTACCTGTGTAAGGTAGGCCAGAGTTCCCCCAAAAGAGACTGTTAACTCTTAACAGTCTTAACTGTTAACTGCACAGTCTCTTCAACCGAAGTATTTGACAAAGTTTTCATCGGTAATTTAAAAAGAAGGGCAGTTGAATTTCAGGAGTGACCAGTAGCTTGTTAAGATTAGCCCCTTCACAGATGGTAATCATGAACTTTGCACAAATGCTTTAAAGAAAATGTTTGATGTCGCCAGAAAGAAATAAAAAGTAGATACAGTATGGAAGAGTCCCTGCCTTAAGGAAAGTAGCCACCCACATCTAAAACAGAAACCTTGGCCCAGAGCAGCTCAAGCTAAGGCAGAGAGCTGTGTGTAATGGTTTAATGGGCAGCATACAAACAGAGGGAAGAGTGTGGGGACTCAGGAGATGTTTCAGTTTCTCTCAAGAGGATCAGCCAAGGTTTTGCTGAAACTGCACCACATACCCACTCCTCCCTCAGACCAATTCTGTTTCTCATTCTTGCTGACAGTTGTTGGTTGGGGTGGCACTCTTCAATAGGCCTGACTTAAGACGCTACGGGGAGAGAGGCCTCTCTGAGGAACCTTACACAAAACAATGGGAAGTATTTTTAAATATATATTTTTGTCAAGTGCAATAGAACATCACTGAGATGGGTCTGAATCATAAAGTTAGTCTCAGGGCTACAGAGGTGGCGTTATCAGTAAGATTCTTCCCATGGAAATGTGAGGACCTCAGTTGGGGTCTCTAGCTCCCAGGTAAAAATCCAGGCACAGCAGTGCACATTAGTGCCTTGAGGAGGTATGGTTTGACCAGAAAGGGGCACAGAGGAACTTTCTGAGGTGGCAGAAGCAAGCCAACACCACCTCCACCTTGTCATTTAACAAAGAACTGGACTGTAAAGACTTTGATTTTTCCTTAAAGTAAAATTTAAAATAAAAACATGTAAAAATATGACAGAAACATATAGTTCAGTTTCGTGGATTAAATAATCCTTATTATCAATCTCAAATAAACATTGAAGTTTTAAAAATTATTCTTGGGTTGGTGAGATGACTCAGGCTCAGACAGTAAAGGTACATGAGTTCAGTCTCCAGTCCCACAGAGTGGAAGGAGAGAACACACGTTGTTCTCTGGCTCCCATGGAGTGCGTGTACACACACATACACACAAATGCAGACACTTGCACACCAAATCCAACAGTAAGCAAATGGAATAAATGGTTTCCAGAAACTTGTGTGTGTACATGTGTGTGCGTAGTCTGTTGCAGTTACCATAACAAAACGCCACAGACCATATGGCTTAGACAGCAGGAATTTATTTTCTCACAGTCTGGACGTCTGACAACAGGATGTAGCACCGTAGGGTCTGGTGAGGGCCACCTCCCAGCTTGCAGATGACTGCCTTTATTTGTGTTCATACTAGGTGTAGGGTGTCCCCCATAAGAAGAGGTCTACTCCCATTCCAAGACCCCGTCATCAACAATTTACCTAATTCCTGTCACCTCCCAAAGGCCTCATCTCCAGATCTCTTCTCACTGGAGATCAGATCTTCAACACATGAAGTTAACGGGGGCATCTCAGTCTTCCACATTATACATCCAAGAACATTTGGAAGACATAAATAGAAAAAGGTCAAATAACATATGTTACCAAAATATATTCGCTGCTGTGATTTATTTATAATTTCCAAGTTGTGATACTTTTATATGGCTGTAGTTATTCTATACATGTAATTTTGTATTATGATTCTTTTTTTTGTCAGTTGCTGGGGATGCAACTCAGAGTTTCCTGCATGCTAGGCCCCTCTCCACTGAACTATAGCCCCAGCCATTTAAATAGTTTTATATATTTATTTGTCATTTAATCCTGAGAGAGGCTTTTACTAAGTTATTCAAGCTGGCCTTGGACTCACTATAGCCCAGGCAGGCCTTGAACTATTGATCTACCTGTCTCTGCCTCCAGTGTAGCTGTGAATGCTGCTGGCATGTGCCAGCGAGCGCAGGCTTGATGAGTTTAACATTACAATACTAAACTTAGTATTGTTACTAAAGATGCTCCAACTGAACCCTCTTTGAATGGACAGAAACAATCCAATGACACTGTTACTGTGTCATCCTGTGGCTGAATGCTGAGTGGCTTCTCAGTATTTTAACAGTGTTGATAAGGCTGTGATATATCTATGTATGCATGAGGGTTTTACCTGTTACTGAGATTATTTTTCTTAGGGTAGAATTCCTGAAATTGGAAGTTGTATGGCATATTGCCAAATAGTCTCTAAAAGTGTGTCCCAGTTTGCAAAGCCACCAGCATTGGGCTGGAAATGTGGAAATGCTCTTTATCTGTTTGCTTTTAAAGGGGAGGCGATTGGTTCCACTAATGTGCTTACTGGATTGTTTCCAACAGGTAAACAGAATTCTGGGAAGTCTACTTCTGGTGTGTAGAACCCCTGGGCTCCTCTGACCCCACACCTCCTGCTCCCTGTTGCTGGCCACTTGCACTTTGAGCCTCACCTGGTTGCTTTTGTGTGGATCGAGGCTTCCCCATCTATCGCAGCCATGAACTTCCTCCGGAGGCGTCTGTCCGACAGCAGCTTTGTGGCCAACCTGCCCAATGGCTACATGCCGGACCTGCAGCGCCCTGAAAGCTCCAGTAGCTCCCCAGCATCCCCGGCCACTGAGAGGAGGCACCCCCAGCCCCTGGCTGCCTCTTTCTCTTCTCCAGGATCCAGCCTATTCAGCTCCTTCTCCAGTGCCATGAAACAGACCCCACAGGCCCCCTCGGGGTTAATGGAACCACCAACTCCTGTCACACCCGTGGTTCAGAGACCCAGGATCTTGTTGGTGATCGATGATGCCCACACAGACTGGTAAGCTTCAGGGGTGGAGCCTGAATGGGGCTGTCTCACCTCTCAGAAGGACAGAATAGAAAATCGTGCTATAAAAGGTTTATATGGTTTCTGAGGCTATCTGAGAGAAGGAGGGGTTCACCAAAGAGAAGCTGTGTGCCTTTTTCTCTAGGGACCTTATCTGAACAGAGCCCCATCAGCAAACTCCAAGTCTAGCAGCTGTGAAATAAACAGAGACCCCAGGTCTGGGAAGTTCCGTGTGTGCTTTACACATCTTAAAGTGGTTGATATGGGTGCTGCAAGTGTTCTAGAAACACAGCACGGGAACTATACGACCTTTCTGAGCCAGCAAAGTTCTCGAGTTGCTATTTAGTCCAACTTCTTTTTGTATAAACCTATCTGTGTGGTGTGTGTGCTTGTGTGTATGTGTGTACTCATGTGTGTGGGTACATGTTTGTGTATTAATGAATACACTCTGTGTCGAGGCCTGAAGTTGACATCACATGTCTTCCTGGACCGGTCTCCACTTTGTTTAAAGGCAGGCTCTCTCAATCAACTGGGAGCTTACTGACCCTTGCTGGATGAGCTAACCAGCTTAACCCGCCCACCCCATCCATCCCCCACCCCTACCACCCCCGAATTCCCTGGCTCTACCTTCCAAGGACTGGGATTACAGACTGCCAGACTTGTACATGGATTCAGGGATCTGAACTCCATTCCCCCTGCTTGCAGGTCAAACAGTATATCCACTGAGCCATCTCCACAGCCTCTAACCAGACATTTGGCCTTATTCTACACTTGGCTGTCTTACCCCTTACTCAGCTATTTGTCAAGAAAGTTGCTTCCCTTTTGGAAATAGAGTTTAATGATGGGGATACTGTGCCACGGTGTGACAACAGCTAGGCAGAGCTCCTGTCCAGTCCCCCAAGCCCTCTGACAGCTGTGTGGCTCTTGTAACTTACTGTGCCTAAATGCAGTACCTACCTCATAAAGGGGCTTTATGGAAGTGGGTAATGCCTAAGTTAATATAAAAGTACCCGGCAGTGCCATTGAAATATACATGCTTGCTATTATAAAGGACTGTGGCCCTCTCTGCTTGACACCGATCATGACAGCAGTACCTTCCAGGCATTCTTGCTTTGTGCCTTTATTCCCAGCATTGTGCAGAAAGGGCAGGGTTTACCCCCGTGTGCCTGGTCCTGCCTTCTTGCTCAGCCTATGGGCAATTGCCTCAGGTTTTCTTGCTCTATGTCTACCCATAGAACAAGTGGTACTGTGGCAAGGCACAGTGAACAAGGATGGGACCCATCCAAGTAGCATTTACATTTTGTCTTTGGTCATCAATCTCCTTAATCTACAGGAATGAGGAGTGTATATATCTTAGGTACTGCCTCCTTGTGGGTGAGAACTGGAGATACACTTTTGGCCTAAGTAGTCTCTCTCGGCGTGTTGAAACATCTATCACTTGCTCACCCTTTAATTGGAACAACAGTGTTTGGTTCCTGGCGTCCTTCTTTGGTGGGGAAAAGAAACTGATGTTCGTGGGGTCGCCTAGGAGTTGGCTCCATGGTCACTGAATATTTGTGACTTAGAGACTTCCCACCACAGACCCATCAGCTTCTCCTTTGCACTCCTTTCTTGAATCATCGCGATCTTTCTAACCACCCAGCATTACCCAGTCGTCTCCAAATTGATGTTCACTGGGTGCCTAAAATGGGTCTTGCTAGTTGTGGTGATGCACTCAGGACTCTGAGGTTAGGAGAAATGTGAGTTCAAGGCCAGCCCTGGCTACGTAGGGAGACTGTTTCCAGACACCATAAGATTCTCAATCCTGCCTACAGAGTTCTCCAAAAATGCCTCGCCACTGCTACCAAAAGTGGCCAGCAGGTGGCGGGCTAGTCCCATGGTTCCGTGTATCCTGGCCGGCCTCCTCCAGGTCCAGCTTCTTCCCAGCTCCTCCTCCTTTGTGTGAAGGTCTCTAGAGGGGAGGAGGTTGTGAAAAGAGAAGAAGCTAGCTCCCACAGCTCCTTCCTTCCCCTTTGAGATGATAATGAGGTGGGCACTTACTGTCTGGGCTGAGAATGACCCCACCCCCATCCCCACAGGCACACTGCTGTCCCCTTCCTGACCCTTCTCAGGCTGAGCCCTGTAAGCTGCCTTCCCTTTCCAGGGCCAGGGCCAATCTATCTCATGAGGTTTCCTTGCAAGCAGAGGGTGTTGTGGGAACCCGTGCCTTTTCTGGGAGTCCAGATGGCAGATTATTTCAACCCGTGGGCTCCCTCAGTTCTACCTGAGAACTGTCTAGTGCAATGTGGAAGGGACCTTGTATTTATTTTATTGTATTTTTTCTTAATTTTCTTCTCACCTAGTACCTTAGTGACAATACCTTTGAAGAAAATGACACGCCCCCTTATGGCAACCATTAGCAATCATCAGCCCCTCAGGAAAAGGTGGAGTCTTATGGGCACCTCTTCTCTCTAAGATGGAATGTGGCAGGGTCCAATACTACACAAGTCTTCATAGCTGCTGTGTGTTCATGGTTACAGTAATGCCACATCTGGATGGCAATGTTTCATGACGCGCCCCCCCACCCTCCTACTCTTCAGTTTTAGCTGCCCTTCCCTCTGTGACATTCCCAGGCCTTGATGTGGGGGGTGATACAGATGTCCCAATTAGGAATGAATGCTCATCAGTCAGTGTCAGCACTTAGACCAGATATTAATCTTTGCGTTAAGTGGCATCTTCTGCAAAAAATAAATAAAAATAAAAAAAATGGAGCTTTTCTGCCCAGGGCTGAGAACAGCTTTAGTCTACAGGTGTAAACATAAATATCCAGAAGGCAGTTTTGCCGCCTGTCCCTGGAGAGAACCAGTAAGGAGATGTTCTCCCTTTGAGCCCATGCCCTTCTCCATCACAGGCTTTTGCTTGGGTTTATAGTGCTTTGTATTTTCTGAAAAGAAATTCAGATCGCAGAGCCACCTTTGCTGCAAGGATTCATGGCTGAACACTTTAAGGTGCAGCTTATAGAGGTGAACCTAGCCAGGGCAAGGGTCTCTGGAGAACGTCTGGCAACACTACTGGAGGTGTGGTTTAGTGGCAGGTGTCGTGATATTTCATTTATATTTTAATAAATAAAACTTGCCTGGAGATCAGGGGATAAAACAGCCCACTGGTCAGCCTTACAGACCAGACAGTTGTGGCTCACACCTTTAATCCCAGTAGTCACACTAGTTTGCCATAGAAACCGGGCAGTAGTGGTGCACGCCTTTAGTCCCAGCACTAGAGAGGAATATAAAATGGGAGGAGTCAGTTCTCACACGGTCTCATTCTGAGATAAAAGTCAGAGCCAGTGGCTGACTGTTTTGCTTTTCTGACCTTCAGGGTGTACCCCAACATCTGTCTCTGGGTTTTTATTAATTGTGCTGCAGGCAGATCTGTACTGTGGGATAGGGCAGAGCAGTCAGTCTTGGGACCCACAAGAGAAAAGAGGGAGCAGATGAATCAGTCTTCAGCTTGCTGCCCCTGCACTGGCTCGCTTGCCTAAACGTTCCAGCAGTTTCTCTGGCTTCAGGCTTCCCATCCTGACCTTGTCTCCTGGCTACCTTCTAAGCTCACATTGTAGTATACACTCTGGATAAGCAGCTTCCATCCTTTGATGGTGCGTCACCAACCTAAACTTCAAGCTGAGCCATAAGCTTGTGCGTCCTCTGTCCAGTTATGCCTCCAGCACTGCACCCTGCTTTGCAGACAAGTGGTTTCCAAGCACACCTTCCCGTAGCACTTCCTGCTCCCTGTTCCAGAAAACCCTTCCCTATTGTGATCACCCAGCCAGTTTCTGTTGATTCTTAGACATGTGTAAAGGTATTCCCTCTTCTAGGGAGCCACCTCTGACATGAACATCTAGTCGCAGCGCTGGTCACTCCTTTCCCACTGTAACTTAACACATATTTCACTGCAAGCTTGTGACACATGTCACAGCAGACTGCAGTCATCTCTTCCTTAAGTTGCTTCCTCATCTTTATATTGCTTAGAGCTCAATGCACACTCAGTGCTCAGTCAGTGTATATATCATTATTCCCATCCCTGTGTAATTGGTGTGGCATGAATTTACAAGTATCTTACCTTTGTAGTCAATGGTGAAGGAGAGGCTGGGGAGATTGATAGCTCAGTTGGTAAAGTACCTGTCGTTCAAGTATGAGGTCCTGAGTTTAATCCCCAGAACCCACATAAAAAGCTGGATGTGGTGGTACACACTTGTAATCCAACACTGGGGAGGTGGAGGCAGGGGGATACTTAGGGTTTGGCGGCTATCCATTCTACACTACTTGGCAAGTTCCAGATTCCGCATCTCAAAAACAAGGTGGGCAGTAGCTGAGGAATGGTGCTTGAGGCATCCTCGGGTGCACACACACCATGCTTAAGCATACATGATTACCCCTTGCCCGTGTACACATGCAAAGGTAAGCGGGGAGATGTGTGGGTGCACCAACCAGAGCCCCAGGTTTGAATTTCAAAATAAAAACATTATGCTATTTAACAGTTACAAAGACTATCACCGGATGGGCTCGGCTGTACCATCCTGCTTGCAGGTTCTCCAGATGGGGGTCATTAGTGAGAGGAGGCGCACTGGGGCAGGTAGGTGCAGGTAAGTCTGTGTCCTCAGTGGCCATGTCTCCTCTCAGTTAACTGTGACCTTGTTCTCAGATTGTCTGCAGTTCTGTCTAACGGTGACCTGCCTTGCTGTCTGAGTATTCCTTCCCTTCCTTGTTTATTTTGTTAGTCAAGACAAATGGAGAGAATGTCCTTCATTAGAAATTCTTCTTAGCCACCCTCCATGGAGCCTAGAGGTTGATACCTCATTTGCCTAGCAAGTCACCATTAATGGTAGCCCTGGATGATTGCCTGGTGCATTTCCAGGTTGAGAAAGATCAAGATGATGTCTCTGTCTCTTCTACCACGGATGACCCAGCCACTCCTAAATGGCGCCATTGCATTTCTTTGCCTAGAGCAGGACAGATAGG